GTTCCAACCCATTGACAGCTTTTGGGACAGGTTGTGTCAAGTGTGTTTCAACCTGGGCAAAGGAGCAAGTTTCCACAACAGTGGTCTCCTCCTTCTCTTTTGGACCATCATGATCCAGGGCATCATCTGGCTGCAAATTATCTTGGAGCAACAACGATGGGACGGCTACAACAGGTGCTGTATTCCCAGTCCCTGTTGCGTCCTTCACCACCCATATATATATATATATATATATATATATATATATATACACATACATATACATATACATATATATATATATATATATATATATATATATATATATATATATAGGGAATTACTCGAGTCAGATAACATGTTTCGGTCAGATGACATTTTCGGTCAGATGACAATGTTTGGCTCATTCTGAATCAATGTAGCCTTCATTCTAAAATAACGTGGGATTCATTCTCACACAACTGTTCATCACAATGTAGTATTCATTCCGAAACAACATAGTGTTCATTCAAAGTTAGCCAGACGATAACATTGGGTTCATTTTGACACATTTGTTCATTATAAACGTAGTACTCATTCTGAAACAACCTAGTACTCATTCCAAGTCTGCTCAGTGTAGTGTTCATTCTAAAACAAGGTGGTGCTCATTCTCAAACAAGGTGGTGCTCATTCTAAAGCATGTCATCTGACCGAAAGTGTCATGTGACCGAAAAATGTCATCTGACTGGAGTCAATCCCATATATATATATATATACACACACACACACACACACACACACACACACACATATAGGAGTTCGTACTGTGGTATTGTGGAGGTAATGTGGCACTGTACATGTGCACATTACTATATTTTTTTGTTAATGTACATGACTGCGCTTGGTAATGTTAATGAATTTTAACTTCTATTTTGGGAATAAAAACATGAAAGTCATATTTTAGTATATTTTCAATGTTTTAATCCTACTTTAATTTTTTTTTACTTTTTTTAATTCTACATTTGATTGTGTATTACTATTTGAATAGGTGAAATTGAATAGTAAGAGTTGCGTAGAGAAAATGGATCAGAGTAAGATTTTTTTTAAGAAACGAGATTCCAAAAAAAAAACATATATGAGATAGAACTACCTTCTATCCGGGACCTGTTCACCCTGGTGACGACTTATAAATTTTAAACTTAGATTTAGAAATTTATTATCATATAAGGCGTCATTAGGGGAAACAGGCTTCAAATAAGAAGGGATTCCAACGTCAACAAACACGGGATTCTGCTGAGCATTATAAAGAGGGCGTATTGTTTTCAGAAATACGGTGTGGGTAAGGAAGCAATATCGAGTATATTTGGCTATATGTGCTCTTGAAGCTTTGAGAGTTTCTTTCTTTCTTTTTATTTTTAATTATAGTGTTTGAAAAAAAAGGGGATGAATATATGAATTTTCTGGTGATGCATTGCTCTTTACATAATGGGATTATTTGCCAGTAGTTTCAGCATTTAACTTTAATATTTGAAAAAAAAATTATTTAATAATAGTGTTTAACTTTAATATTTGAAAAAAAAATTATTTAATTATAGTGTTTAACTTTAACGTTTTGAAAAAGGAACCTTGGAGTTGAGGGTGCATGCTTCAAATCAAGGGCGGATGCATTCAATAGGAGTTGGGGGCATGTGCCCCCTACTAATTTTTTTAATTACGTAAATTATTAATTTTATTTTAAATATTAGATATATATGCCCCCAACAAAAATTAGGGGGACTCCATCTAAGTAGGCTAAGTATAAATTTTTTATTTAATTTTTTAATAAAGTGTATTTTATTACATATAATTAATTATTTATGAAATGAAATTTCACATTACCTATTAAAAATGTTTTACATTCAACAAATGTTTAAAATAAAATTCTTTATTTTTTTGTCATTTCATATAGCTTATTTAAAGAAATCTAGGGGCGCTACTCTCGGACTCCCAATTAATGGTGCTCCCATCTAGTTCTATTTCTGGATCCGTCACTGGCTTTAACTGGGGACAAGCAAGTTACGAATCATCCAAATGCAATAAAAAGAGCAACTATAATATGGGATATTACATCTTACATGACTAATTGCTCTCAACTCAATTAGGATTAGTCTAATCAAGTATAGTGCAATTAGATTAAGTTCAATTCACCTAGAGTGTAAAATAACTTGAAAACTTTTTGTTGTACTAGGAGAAGTGCATGTGTTACTCGCATGAGTCCTGACAATCAAGTAAATCCCTACTTAGTTTATACTATTAAAAAATACGGAGTAATCTTTTTAACATACTAACATTGAATCTTATTGATTAAAATTAAGTATGTTTTGTAAAAAAAAGTATTTACTCTATTCTAATTTAATTTGTCCGTTTTTAAAGTTGTTTGACTAAAACTATTTCCAATTCAAGCTATTTAAACTGTTCCCCCTAATGATGTATTGCATTTACTTTGATGAATGAAAGTGTTTGAGTTTCAAAAAAAATTGGTGTGTAATAAAAAAAATACTCGACTATATTTAAAATTACTCCATCCGTCTCAATTTATATAGTCTGTTTTGATTTACGATCTTTGGTTGAAATTATTTTCTAATCATTTTATATGAAAAATGGTGTAGAACTTAAAAAATAAAAATTATATATTAAAATACTACATCAAAAGATCTATAAAACTAGTGGTGACATGACTATATTATATTAGCAAATGACTATCGAGAAAAGAAAAATAAAGTGAATGAAGTTTGGCCCTATGATTCTGTGAATAGTGAACAAGAAATTTAATTTGAGACAGATTGAGTAGCATATAAAATTACACTGAGTACAAAATAATAAGGGATATGACTATATTATTTTTTACACATTGTCTTTCTCCATTCATCTTATTATGAAGATGACGTCAAGGTTGACACTACTAATATTTCATAGGTAATAATTTCTCATCGATAATTATTGTCAGTTTGAAAATAGTCATCAGCGGCTAGAAGTGTTCTTTTAAAGTACGTCTTTTTGGGATTGAATAACTTGTGGACTTTTGAGCTATACCTATGATTCTATGATGCATAATACTTCATCCGTTCCATATTAGATTACAATTTCTTATTTAGGAGACAAAATCTTACTCCCCCCGTCCCATTTTAAATCGCCCGTTTTGACTTTTGGGCATATTTAACGAAAATGAAAAATAGAGCTGATTTTTCGAAATTGTCAGCACTTTTTAGGAGGTATGATGATGAATGAGAAGATAATGTGGAGAAGAGTGACTTATTTTAGAGGTAATTTAGGTATTTTACTCTTAAAAGTTTACGAAAACAACTAACAGGCAACTTATTTTGGGACGGAGAAAAAAGGCAAACATGCAATTTAAAATGGGACGGAGGTAGTACATTTTAAAAATTGATTTCTTTAAAAATAGGTATAAGAATAATTAATACTCTCCTCGTCTAACAATAAATTTCCCATTTTGAAAAACATGCAAAATCTCATCTTTTTTAAAATGACTTTATTTATAAATTGGTACTCCTTCCGTCCAAGTGTATTCTGCTGACCATTTATTAGGTGAATTTATTTTAGAGACAGGATCCAGGACCTAAGACTTTTGACTCTTATCGAGAATATGACCTTATAAAAGAATATTTAGAGATTTAGGATTAATGTAGTTGGATAGGCGTGTTGGATGGGTGATACTTTTTCCATTTGTTGATGTATGCATTCTTCTTGTGTGTTTTATGCTTGCTGTGCTTCTTTGTTATTTTTAATTATCCTTTGTTGTTTTTGTGCTCTATATTTTTTCTACTATATGTGCTTACGTTTGTACTATCTGCGTTATCACTTATCCGTGTTACTGAATAAGGGGTTTCTGTAAAAGGAAAGAGAAGATTGAGAAGATTTGGGAGATATTTTCGTATCTATTATTTTAGTAGTTTCCTTGTATAGTGATGATTTAGTTTCCTTGTATAGAGATGATTTAGTTTCCTTTATTATCTAGGACTCTACACTATATATGTAACACATGAATGTATATGGACACACAGAAATAATACGAGTAATTTTCCTCCTAAGCAATCCTTTCATGGTATCAGAGCCTAAACTCTAGGAATTTCCGTAGTTACTGTTCACGATCGCCCGGCATCGCGTCCATCGATCGTTGGCTGTTGCTGCTGCTGAAGAAGACCGGAACGGTCGACCGTGCTTGCGTAACGGTCGAAGGCATCGACCGTGCCGACGGCAGTATCCTTAATTGCTGTTGTTCCTGATCCAAATTTTGAACGTTGTCATGTGGTATGTCTGGAGAAACACCGATGAAGATAATTTCCAATAAGAAGAACGAAGAACGAGAGGAGGAGGAGGTCGGGGTGCGACGCCGTCGTATCTCTCCTTATGATTTATCTCCGAGCGACAATCCGGGTATGATTTTGACCCATGTTGTTCTCAAGGGAGAAAATTATGATGAGTGGTCCAAATCTCTGCACTTGGCTCTTCGAGCACGCAAGAAATTTGGATTTGTTGATGGGACAATCGGGATGCCTGATCCTGAAGATGAAGATTTTGATGATTGGTGGACGAACCATTCGCTTTTGGTCTCTTGGATTCGGAACACAATTGATCCAACCCTGAGATCGAGCATATCGTTCATGGAGAAAGCCTCAGATCTGTGGAATGAACTGAAGGCCCGCTTCTCTGTAGTTAATGGACCTAGGGTTCAGCAGTTGAAGCGGGACTTGGCGGAATGCAAACAAAAGAATCTTTCTGTAATGGAATATTATGGGAAGATGAAGAAGCTATGGGATGACCTTGCAGATTTAGAGAGTTTTCCGACTTGTACGTGTAGGAATTGCACGTGTGACTTGCCAGAGAAACTTACGCAGATGCGTGAGAGGGAACGCTCTCATCAATTTTTGATGGGTCTGAACGATACTTTGTATGGAGCTTTGAGGTCAAATTTGTTGGCCCAAGAGATCATACCGCCGGTGGCAAGAATATACAATATTCTTGTCCAAGACGAGACGACACGAAATGGTATGCACAAAGGAGAAAGCAGTGAAGCAAGTGCATCTGTGTTTGCCGTAAAGAATAAGATGGAGATCAAAGAGCTTGTGTGCAGCCACTGTGGGAAAACAGGACATGAGGTCGAGGCATGCTACAAGCTGATTGGGTACCCCGAAGGTTGGGTATTTCGCGATCAGGCCGGAAGAGGAAGAGGAAACGGTCGAGGAAGAGGCCGTGGGACTGCACGGGGCGGCGGACGGTCGACCGTCACGGGTGGACGAGGTGAAGCTCATGCTGTCCAAGGAGAAGAAAAAGGACCATCTCCACTGCCAAATTTTGAGGACTTGACGCCAGAACAGTGGAATGATGTTCGTCACGCCCTCTCGCTCTCCCCGACAGACAACTCACCAAAACTCTCAGGTATTCCTGTGTCACCTCGTTGGATAATCGATACTGGTGCGTTGAATCATATGATAGGTGATCTTTCATTGTTATATGATGTGGTGGGTGTGTCTCCATGTGAAATTTTATTACCCGATGGAAAAAGGGTTGTGTCCGTTCAATCTGGAAAGGTTGACTTGACTATGACTATGACTTTGCAGAATGTGTTGTTTGTTCCAACCTTGAACTGTCATTTGATTTCTGTGTCACAGTTGACAAGAGATTTGAACTGTGAGGCAAAGTTTACCAATAATTTGTGCATCTTACAGGACCTAAGTTTGAGGACAATGATTGGTGTGGGTAGACTTGAAGGAGGATTGTACTATTTGAAGAAGGAGGAGAGGAGCATGGTGTGCAGTGCTGCCAAGAAGAATTCATTTGACCTCTGGCACAAACGTCTAGGACATCCTTCTTCACATGTTCTGTCCTTAGTTCCTATAGTTGGTTTGAATAAACATAGTCATAGTCATTTTGATGTTTGCTTGCGTGCTAAACAGACTCGTGCTAGTTTTCCTATCAGTTTTCATCAATCTATGGATAAATTTGATATGGTGCATTGTGATTTGTGGGGTCCTTATCGGACACCAAGTTTGGATGGTTCTACAATGTTTTTAACTATCGTAGATGATTTTTCACGAGGTGTGTGGGTATATTTGCTTGATTCTAAGCGTACCGTAGGAGGTGTTTTTAAGCAATTTTGTGCCATGGTTGAATGTCAGTTTGGGAAGAGGATAAAGTGTGTTCGAAGTGATAATGCTACAGAATTTGAATGCTTGACAGAATACTTTCTTGAAAAAGGAATTATTCGTGAGACATCTTGTGTGTCTACTCCACAGCAGAATGGTAGAGTAGAACGTAAACATCGGCATATTTTGAATGTGGGCCGTGCTTTGAGATTTCAGGCAGGGCTTCCGATCGATTTCTGGGGAGAATGCATACAAACGGCGGCATATTTAATCAACCGGACACCCTCGTCTCTTTTAGGGGGGGTTACGCCATACGAAAAACTTTATGGAAGGGCCCCTGCACTGACTCATATTCGCATTTTTGGTTGCAGATGTTATGTACATAATTTGAAGAGAGATGGGGATAAATTTGCGCCCAAAAGTATTCCTGGAATATTTTTGGGTTATCCACAAGGAAAGAAGAGATGGCATGTATATTTTCCTGACACTGGGAAAATAAGCGTATCGCGAGATGTTGTGTTTTGTGAAAACATATTTCCTTATTTGATGACTACAGGTGAAACATTAGAAGACGATGGATCAAGTAGTCCCGCTCCGGCTGATCATTATGATGATGATGATGAAGTAATGGCGGAGGAGCAGCTGGACCGTCCTCAGAGGAACGGTCAGCCGGAAGAAGGCGGAAAAGCAGCTGAGCTACCGGCGGTCGACCCGATGGACTGTTCTGATGTCCACGGTCGACCGTCATCGAGGCAGAAAGGTGGAACCCTGGGAGATCAGCCAACGGTCGACTCGGTGGACCGTTCGGAGAGACACAGTGGACCGTTCGAGGGGCAGAGAGACAGACTTCAGGGAGATGCGGAAACGGTCGACCGTGATGACAACAACGGTCGACCGTCCCCAAGGCAGAAAGGAGGCAGTGAGGAACCATCAAAGACGGTCGACCCCGTGGACCGTTCCACGGATGGCGATCGACCGTCCTCATCCCAGCAAACAACAGAAACCTTGGGGCGTGGTCAACGGGAAAGGAGGCCAAATGTGAGACTTGCGGACTATGTCACACATGTGGCCGGTCCACTTACTGACAGAAAGTGCAAATATTCGCTCTCCTCCTATGTTACTTATGAGAAGTTTTCTGAGAAACATAAGTGTTTTCTCATGGCACTTGATAAAGACATCGAGCCCAGAAACTTCAAACAAGCATTCCGGGATGAGCGATGGAGGAAGGCCATGCGAGAAGAAATTGATGCTCTGGAGGCTAATGCGACGTGGTCTCTTGTTCCTCCTTCGCGTCATAAAAAGGCTCTTGGGTGCAAATGGGTGTATAAAATCAAACGCAAATCTGATGGTAGCGTGGAAAGATACAAGGCTAGGCTTGTTATACTCGGTAATCACTAGGTTGAAGGCATTGATTACAAAGAAACATTTGCACCTGTAGTCAAGTTGACTACTGTGAGAACACTTTTGGCAGTTGCGGCGGTCAAAGGGTGGAAATTGCACCAGATGGATGTTCACAATGCATTCCTACATGGAGATCTGCACGATGAGGTGTATATGAGGTTGCCGCCTGGCTTCTCGAGTTCGTCTGATATGGTGTGTAAACTCAAGAAGTCCCTGTATGGCTTGAAACAGGCTCCACGATGTTGGTTTGCAAAATTATCGGGAGCATTACGAAGATATGGATTTGTGCAGTCCGTCTCCGATTACTCCTTATTCTCTTTCGTTGGAAAGAAAGGAGTGATTCATGTTCTAGTTTATGTAGATGACTTGATCATTGCTGGTGATAGCACAGAGATGATATGCAAATTCAAGGATTATTTGGCAGATTGTTTTCGTATGAAGGATTTGGGGACTTTGAAGTTCTTTCTTGGCATCGAGGTAGCACGGAGCACATCTGGAATTTTTCTTTGTCAAAGAAAATATGCTTTAGACATCATTACTGAGGCAGGGTTGTTGGGCGCCAGGCCATTGGGTGCCCCAGTGGAGCCCAATAATCATCTGGCTCGTTCTCAAGCCCCAGTTCTTGCAGACCCAGAACCTTATCGACGATTGGTAGGACGATTGGTCTATCTTTCTGTTACACGACCAGAGCTTTCTTATGCTGTGCATACTTTAGCACAATTTCTGAAGGAACCAAGGGAGGATCAATGGACTGCGGCCCTTGGGGTAATTCGTTATCTAAAAGAATGTCCTGGAAAGGGCATTTTCCTTTCTGCAGATGGTAGCCTTCAGCTTACCGGGTGGTGTGATTCGGACTGGGCAGCATGCCCTTTGACACGGCGGTCGCTGACAGGATGGTTTGTACAACTTGGCGGGTCGCCGGTCTCATGGAAGACAAAGAAGCAGACAACAGTGGCACGTTCGTCTGCTGAAGCTGAGTACAAGGCTCTTGCTGTTCTTACTTGTGAGTTGAAGTGGTTGAAGAATTTATTGCGATGTTTGGGAGTAGAGCATACGGACTCTATGACGGTTCGCTGTGATAGTACCGCGGCACTCCACATTGCCGCTAATCCAGTTTTTCACAAACGAACGAAGCATATTGAGATAGATTGTAATTTCGTTCGTGATGAGTTATTACGCGGAGAGATTCGTGCTCTTCATGTTCCTACTATGCACCAGCTTGTGGATATTCACACGAAGGCTCTTGGGAAGTCACGACTGGAGTTTCTCATACCCAAGTTGGGCATTACTTCGTTACATGCTCCAACTTGAGGGGGGGTGTAAAAGGAAAGAGAAGATTGAGAAGATTTGGGAGATATTTTCGTATCTATTATTTTAGTAGTTTCCTTGTATACTGATGATTTAGTTTCCTTGTATAGAGATGATTTAGTTTCCTTTATTATCTAGGACTCTACACTATATATGTAACACATGAATGTATATGGACACACAGAAATAATACGAGTAATTTTCCTCCTAAGCAATCCTTTCAGTTTCTTAGATATGACTTCTCTATCTTTGAGTAAGAGTAAGATCAGCGTACACATACCCTCATCAGGCCTTACTCTTTGTGAGATCATACTGTGTTGCTGTGAATAGTTTTTAGGAGAGGAATATAACCTCGGGAGAAATGAAACTTTGGGGTTTTATTATAATCTTTTGATACTTATATCAAAATTTTATTCGTTAAAAAGTTCTCTTTGTGCAATTTAATTAGTTCAAATATGATTTTGTTAGTTATATTTGATCTGATACTAGTTAAATTTAATTTAGATTTGATTGTAACAAGGATAGTTAATACTCTAACAATATGAATAAATTGAAGATAACATAGTCTAAATCGCCATTATTTTGTTTAGAGGTGGAACTCCTGTGCCGGATTTCCAAGGAATAAATTTCCTTCTAAACTTGAATTGTGATCTTTTATACACAATTAACACTTCTTCCAAATCAATAAGAAATTACTCTTTAATACTCCTTCGGTTCCAAAAAAAAAAAAGCCTACTACTAATTTAATTTGACACAATGTTTAAGAAAAATAAAATTGTATGATTGAAAAATGGCGAGCAACAAAAAATGGCCAAATAGCTCTGATGCTTCCTGTGGTTTGAAATTTGTATTCTGAATATATTTGGCAAACTCGCGAATTAAATAGCCTTGTATTGAATTCGTATTCGACAAGGAATTGAGTATTTATTCAGATCGTATTCGAAATCAGATTCAAAAATTTCGAATACGAATCACTTAATTCTAATATGAATCGCGTATTGAATAAAAAATATTTAATTCATTTACAACCCCACTTCGTAGTATTTTTATTGTATTTCCTCCCGTTCGCAACTAGATTACAATTTTTGATTTACGAGGTAAGACCTTTTATTTTTAAACTTATTTTATTTAAAAATTGGTATAAGAATAAAAAATAAAAGGTATATATTTAAAAGTTACGTCAAAAGTTTTATGGAATAGCAAACAAGAGTTACAATAAAATTTTATTTTATGAAATAATCAATGAAAAAACATATATGAGTATACATAAACAAAAAAGTCAAAAATAGTCGATAGGCAAAACATCTTTTTTTGGGCATGTTGTGGGTTTTTAAATATAAATCACTCTAAACAAGACTAAAACATAGAAAAAGTATTAAAATAGAACTTTCATATTTTTATTCTCAAAATAGGAGTTCGTAATGTTAATGCATTTTAACTTCTATTTTGGGAATAAAAAACATGAAAGTCAAATTTTGATATATTTTCAATGTTCTAATTCTACTTTAGTTTTTTTCCCCTTTTTTAATTCTACATTTGATGTCTTATAAATTTTAAACTTAGACTTCGAAATTTATTATTTATTACGGAGTACTATATAAACCATCATCAGGGTGAATTGGGTTCAAACAAGAAGGGATTCCAAGGTCAACAGAAGGATTCTGCTGAGCATTATAAAGAGGGCGTATTGTTTTTAGAAATACGGTGTGGGTAAGGAAGCATTATGGAGTATATAATTATATATGGCTATATGGGGTAAATTTCACCAATGGTACCTGAACTTTAGCTGGAATTTCGAAGTGGTACCTGAACTTCAAATCCTTTCAAATAAATCCCTGGACTTACACAATCCTTTCACTAATGAACCATTAGCCCGTTTCTAGGTTAACTTACGATCATTTGGGCCAAATTCGAATTTTATATATTTTAAAATTTTCAATTTGACCCCATTTCTTCTATTCTTTTCTTCCACGGCCCGCCGCCGCCGCCCGCCGGTCAAAGTCGCCGGAAAATGAACTTTGTCCGATTCTGGCGGGACCAATGTCATTCTCTTCGTCTTGAGACGAGGATCAATAATATCCAAATCATTTTGTCTAATTTGGCCTGTAACTTCTCGAATCTGAATTTTTCTACTCGAAAAAACCCTAAAATTCGAAATTGGGTCCAAAATTGGGGGTTTTGCAAATCGTCATCAAATCATGCAATTGAGGGGTCTTTGGAGGTTGCCTTGATGCCACGACCACATTGGAGTGGATTCCCGCCGTCAATTTCACCGAAGTTGGCCGGAAAACGCTTCGACCCGCCGGAAATCGCCGGCGGGTCGGAGTGTTTTCCGGCTAAATCCGGCGAAATTGACGGCGGGCTTCCACTCCAATGTGGTCGTGGAATCAGGGCGACCTTCAAGGACCCCTCAATTGCAAGATTTGATGACGATTTGCAAAACCCCCAATTTTGGACCCAATTTCGAATTTTAGGGTTTTTCCGAGTAGAAAAATTCAGATTCGAGAAGTTACAGGCCAAATTAGACAAAATGGTTTGGATATTATTGATCCTCGTCTCAAGACAAAGAGAATGACATTGGTCCCACCGGAATCGGACAAAGTTCATTTTCCGGCGACTTTGACCGGCGGGCGGCGGCGGCGGGGCTTGGAAGAAAAGAAAAGAAGAAATGGGGTCAAATTAAAAATTTTAAAATATATAAAATTCGAATTTGGCCCAAATGACCGGAAGTTAACCTAGAAACGGGCTAATGGTTCATTAGTGAAAGGATTGTGTAAGTTCAGGGATTTATTTGAAAGGATTTGAAGTTCAGGTACCACTTCAAAATTCCAGCTAAAGTTCAGGTACCATTGGTGAAATTTACCCTGGCTATATGTGCCCTTGAAGCTTTGAAAGTTTCGTTCTTTCTTTTTATTTTTAATTATAGTGTTTGAAAAAAAAGGGGGATGAATATATGAATTTTTTGGTAATGCATTGCCCTTTACATAATGGGATTATTTGACAGTAGTTTCAGCATTTAGCTTTAATATTTGAAAAAAAATTATTTAATAATAGTATTAAACTTTAACATTTTGAAAAAGGAACCTTGGAGTTGAGGGTGCATGCTTCAAATCAAGGGCGGATGCATTCAATAGGAGTTGGGGGCATATGCCCCCTACTATTTTTTTTTAATTACGTAAATTATTAATTTTATTTTAAATATTAGATATATATGCCCCCAACAAAAATTAGGGGGACTCCATCTAAGTAGGCTAAGTATAAATTTTTTATTTAATTTTTTAATAAAGTTTATTTTATTACATATAATTAATTATTTATGAAATAAAATTTCACATTACCTATTAAAAATGTTTTACATTCAATAAATGTTTAAAATAAAATTCTTTATTTTTTTGTCATTTCATATTTAAAAAATTTGGGGGCGCTGCTCTCGGACTCCCAATTAATGGTGCTCCCATCTAGTTCTATTTATGGATCTGTCACTGGCTTTAACTGGGGTCAAGCAGGTTACAGATCATCTGAATGCAATAAAAAGAGCAACTATAATACGGGATATTACATCTCACATGACTAATTGCTCTCAACTCAATTAGGATTAGTCTAATCAAGTTTAGTGCAATTAGATTAAGTTCAATTCACCTAGACTAGAGTAGGGCTGGGTCGGGAAAACTGAAAACCGAAAACCGAACCGAAATCAATCGAAACGAGCTAGAAAAAAAACCGAACCGAAAAAACCGAAACCGAATGTAGAAAAACCGAACCGAACCGTTATTGTTTGATTCCGTTTTGGTTTTTACTTTGAAAAATCAAACCGAACCGAATAAACCGAACTTATTTATATGCTTCATTTTATTTATATGGGTATATGTGATATGTATAAAAATCATATAAACAAAAATGCAAATAAATTACTAGTCGATTAAAGTTTTTTCTTAACTATTAATTAAACATTTTAACCATATTATAACTTTAAAAAAATCTAAGAATATAAACACCAATAACTAATCCTAATATAGAATTATATAACATTAAAAATTAAAATGAGTAGTTAACATATTTACATAAAAACCTTTGATGTTATAATGAAAATGAAAGTATTATATAAAAAAAATACAAATTCTCTGCAATTGATTTTACATACGATATCTTTATGATTATTTAGAATCTTCTACATGATTGTTAGACACTTGACACATATTTTGTATGTAAAATTGAACCGATGAGAACACTAACCTTCTGTTCGGTTTTTTGTGTGTGTAAAAATCAAGCAAAAAAACCTAACACAAACTTACGTATTGTTATTGCTTCGTCGGGTTAGTATTTATACAATTTTTAATGCTTATAAATATTTACTTTTATAAACTGAAAAAACCGAAAAAAACCAAGATAAAAACCGCATAAAACCGAACCGAATAACCAACGGTTTACATATTTTTTATGCAAAACCGAACCGAACCGCCAACTTACCTTCCGTTTTGTCTTTGGTTTTGGGTAAAAACCGAACCGCCAAAACCGAACCCACCCCTAACCTAGAGTGTAAAATAACTTAAAAACTTTTTGTTGTACTAGGAGAAGTGCATGTGTTACTCGCATGAGTCATGACAATCAAGTAATATACGACATGAGTAATTAGTTGAAAAAAAAGTAAGTGTACCCTAATTAGTTTATACTATTAAAAAATACGGAGTAATCTTTTTCAAATACTAACCATGAATCTTATTGATTAAAATTAAGCATGTTTTGTAAAAAAAAGTATTTACTCTATTCTAATTTAATTTGTCCGTTTTTAAAGTTGTTTGACTAAAACTATTTCCAATTCAAACTATTTAAAAATTGGTGTGGAATAAAAAAAAATACTCAAGTATATTTAAAATTACTCTATCGTCTCAATTAATATTACCTATTTTGATATACGATCTTTGACTGAAATTATTTTTAAATAATTTATATGAAAAATGGTGTAGAATTTAAAAAATAAAAATTATATATATTAAAATACTATATCAAAAGATATACAAAACTAGTGGTGACATGACTATTTTATATTAGCAAATGACTATCGAGAGAAGAAAAAGAAAGTGAATGAAATTTGACTCTATAATTCTTTGAATAATAAACAAGAAATATAATTTGAGACAGAGTGAGTAGCATATAAAATTATACGGAGTGCAAAATAATAAGGGATATGCATATATTATTTTATACACATTGTCTTTCTCCATTCATATTATTATAAAGATGACGTCAAGGTTGACACTACTAATATTTCATAGGTAATAATATCTCATCGACAATTATTGTCGGTTTGAAAATAGCCTGATAGTGTCAATCTTAGTATCAAAGTTCATCAGCGGCTAGAATTTTTTTTGAGGTACATATTTTTGGGCTTGAATAACTTGTGGACTTTTGAACTATACCTATGATTCTATGATACATAATACTTCCCCCGTTCCATATTAGATTATACTCCCTCCGTCCCCCATAGATCTTCCCAATAGCTCTTTTTCTTTGTCCGCAATAGTTCTTCTCATTTCATTTTTTAACAATTAAAATACCACAACTACCCCCACTTACTTTATTTATTACACCCCACCCACACCATTTAATACACTCCACCCATTTTTCATTAAGGGTATTATGGTAAACTTTTACTTTTTTTCAACTCTCCTTAAAAACCACCAAAAGTTAAAATGAGAACATCTTAAAGGGACGGAGGGAGTAATTTCTTATTTAGGAGATAAAATCTTACATTTTAAAATTTGATTTATTTAAAAATAGGTATAGGAATAATTAATACTCTCCTCGTCTAACAATAAATTTCTCATTTTTAACATGCAAAATCTGATCTTTTTTAAATTGACTTTATTTATAAATTAATACTCCTTCCGTCCAAGTGTATTCTGCTTACCATTTATTAGGTGAATTTATTTTAGAGATAGGATCCAGAACCTAAGACTTTTGACTCTTATCGAGGATATGATCTTATAAAAGATTATTTAGAGATTTAGGTTTAAGGTACTTGGATAGGCATGTTGGACTGGATGATAATTTTTCCATTTGTTGTTGTATGCATTGTTCTTGTGTGTTTTATGCTTGTTGTGCTTCTTTGTTATTTTTAATTATCCTGTGTTGTTTTTGTGTTCTATACTTTTTCTACTTTATGTGCCTACGTTTGTGCTATCTATGTTATCACTTATCCGTGTTACTGGATCAGAAGTTTTTTTAGAAATGACTTCTCTACTTTCGAGTAGGAGTAAGATCGGCATACACATACCCTCCTTAGACCTTAGTCTTTGTGACCTTACTCTTTCTTCGTGAGATCCTACTGTGTTGTGAATTGTTTTTAGAAATATTGGGAGGGGAAGAAATAAATTCTTTCTTAATTAGTTGTATAAACCTGGGAATATAACCTCGGGAGAAATGAAACTTTGGGGTTTTATTATAATATTTTGATACTTATATCAAAATTTTACACGTTAAAAAGTTCTCTTCGTGCGATTTAATTAGTTCTAAAATGATTTTGTTCAAGTTATATTTGATCTGATACTAGTTAAATTTAATTTAGATTTGATTGTAATAAAGATAGTTAATACTCCAACAATATGAATAAATTGAAGAAAACACAATATGAATAAATTGAAGAAAACATAGTCTAAATCGCCATTATTTTGTTTAGAGGTGAACTCTTATGCCGGATTTCCAAGGAATAAATTTCCTTCTAAACTTAAATTGTGATCATTTATACACAATTAACACACCTTCCAAATCAATAAGAAATTACTCTTTTATACTCCTGTTCAAAAAAAAAAAGCCTACTAATTTAATTTGACACAAAAAATTGATATATATTGCTGAAATTCCAAAGCTAAAATGATCCTATAAAAGGTGCCTTGTAAAACAGGCTGAAAGAGTTCGAATTCACGAATTAGTCGAACATAAAATTAAGCCCTCAATGGTAAAATCAATCGCATAAAAGAGCCCCAAGTTGTGGTTGAATTTTGGCCCACATTATATGAATCTCCTACAACTGTGTGTGAATCAAAATCACTTGACCATGAACAACAACAATCAGGTGATTCAAGGGAGAAATGACAATACTGCCCCTCCGTGTATTATCGGAGAATTGAATCTATAGAAGTAAAAGTAGCCAAACTACCCAATGGCTAGGTATGGTTGACAACTAACAGACCAAAACTGACATATATTGCTTAAATGTCATAGAAGTATAACCTACACTGGCCACGACGAGCCTTTCGAGAGGACTAAAAAGCAAAGTGAGCATACCAATGATTCGGGTTATGAGGAGGATGAGCATGTAGGCGGCGGGGATGAATCGGTCACACATGATGATGTTGACTGGTCAATACTTGCTTGTGGCAGATACATGTAGGCCGCCACAGAAGCAGCAATGATGGCTGAAAATCCAATGCCGCTCCATACCCACTTCTGTTGAGTCCTCTTCCTCTGTCTTCGTTTTCTCCCTGCATCTATACATGGTTTAAATGTCATTAATAAATCACAGGTGCAATATATAGGAAAGAATCATCCTTGTTTTGTGGATTGATAGGATTAGGAATGACAACAAGTCGGGATAAATACAGTCCAGTGTCATTGTAAAAAAAACTCTAATGATATTTGGGACAGGTATGGGAATTTTTTTGCAGTTGTTAACAGGGTTTGGGTTTAGCATTGTAGGGTACCCACTTCTTGAAGGTAGGAATCATACAAATTAAGTTAATAACCACTATATATTAATATGCAAAACTACTAGGTCTTAAAAATTAATATACAAGTAAACTACTGAACCCTATTTATACTTATGTGCAGACGTTTTGAATTTTTATTCCCAATAAGTCGGAACTGATCACTCCTGTTCCTAAACTTTTTCCAATTGATTTTTGGTCCCCTCATAGATAGTTCTTCCTAATTCCAATATCCAAGGAAAGAATTGCATGGTTGATATTGATAATTTCTACATAGATCTCAACTTTGTCTTTCTTAATTCGCATTGCACAAATAAACAAGAACATTTAAGAACATATGGAGTATTGACTGTTGACTGTCTACTTATCTGGATCTTGGAAATAGGAGGGATTTAAACTGGCATTTGTCAAATGGAATAAGTTGAGAACAATAATGGAACAATGACCACATTTGAAAATCTCAGTCAATGACCACATTTGTTGCCATTACTGTAGTATTACAATGGGCATGCTGTTCTAAATAGGGTATTTCCGGGTTATCTAGTATTACAATGGGCATGCTGTTCTAAATAGGTTGGGGATGATAAATGCTAAGCAAATAGACCACATTTGTTGCCATTACTGTATGTCATCTTAGAGTCAACAGTAAAAATTGAATGACACTGTCCTCATACACACATAGAGCAATAAAACAAGAGAATAGAAAGCTCACCAACAATTTCTTGATTCCTTTGAGACATCTCGTGATTAACTGCTTTGTAGTATTGTAACCTGTCCCTCAGCCGGGAGATCTCCTGGTTTTTGGTTTCAAGCATTGCTGCTAAAGCATCTTCAGATTCAGCACGAGCTTCACCTTTACCTATTGCCTCAGCAACATACCGAGCAACAGCTAATTCTTGAACAGCCTGATTGATTGAGAAATTCCCAAATTCAAGTCCAAAAATGACATCAGAAGGTGAAGGAAGTGTTAAGCCTTCCTGATATAGAGTGTTGCGGATTCTAAGCCAATGGTTCTGCATCAACGCAAGAGCATCTTCTGCAGCCTTTCTCTTTTCTGCTTCTTCAATGAGCTTAAGCCTTAAGGTATGTAGTTCTGATAATATAGTAGCACCGTAAAGAGATGCATTTGAAGCAGACCCCTCAGATGAGAACTCTGTAGATAACAATTAACAATGATAATCAGTAGACAGTAATCACAAAAAGTTAATTGTTAAAAAATGCAGGGAAGAAGATTTATCTTCAGAGTTGGTGTCAGGCGTGTCATTTGACAGTTACCAATAGCAATCAAAGGTCACCATAGCTAATTTATTTTGAACTGGATAGCGTCCAATAATCTCTTTGCCAAAAAACCCATAAACTTATTATGCAAGGGAAAACTTTTTCAATAATATTTACCAGACAATATAGACTTAGGCAATGGCAAAACAATTTTTTAGTGTTGTGGTATCAATTTCGCAGCACACGCCACACGGGAGTTCACAAAAGAGCTATTCAATGTCATTGATCAAACAGTTTGATTCAAACACAAACAAAAATTGTTATTTTATCCATACAGCTTCCTTACATATTATCATAGCACCAATAAACAGTCCAATAATTTCAGTATAACAAACAAACATGGAATTACATGTCAAAGTAAGAAGAAAAAGTTTACCTTCATTAGCATCAAAGAAATCCCCTTGAGCAGACAACATGCTGTGGCAATCAAGTCCTCTAAACTCACTAGCACTTCCAACACTGGAGACATCGCAGGCGGGATCTAGAAACTCTTCACCTCCGCCCTCCAATCCCTTGATTCCATCTCCTGTGACCTCCGTATCCCCCTCAATTTTATCCCTGACCAAAACCTCCTCCTGCGGGTCATACCTCCCCCGAGAATTCAATCCGGCAGCATCATTCTCGGTCTCCCCACATTCCTTCCCTTCAGGAACGGAAAATCCATCGATTTTTCGATTGGCAACATGTTCCCTCCCGCGCCGCTTGTGATTAACAACATAAGGAGAAGGAGAGAGTGTTCCGGCGGAAACCTCCGGGATGGGAGCTGGTTCCGGAGTTATATACAGAGCCGGAGATATGTAAATATGATTGGCAGACGGAGGATTCAAATCATCGACCCCCTCCCTCCGAGCACCATCACGCACGCCACCGTTACAATCGATGCGGCTTCCATCACTAGACCTAGAAACTTTGAGATGCCTCGCGGCGGATTTCTCGAAATCCAATGGAGATTTGCACGAATCTCGAACGCGCGGCTCGAGAAGGTTCTCGAGCGCGATGGTCGTGAAAGTAGGCATGCTCAGTGGCGATCGGTGGCTTCGCCGGCGGCTGCTCTCAGAGTCCGGTCATACGAAGGCGGCGGAAACGGAGGCGCGGGAAGGTGAGCATATGGTGTGGGTAGGTTTCAGGCGTTTTTTGATTTGTGGGAAGTGTGAACGGGGGCCGAATTCTCCAGCGTGTTTGGAAGATATCTAGAAGAACAAGATACAAAAAATGGCCTTTAGCTTCTATATTACGAAGGAGTCCGTATATATACATCTAAAAAAAATGAAGTTTGGCTTATTCTTGAAGAACAAGATACTTTGATTATTATATGCTCCACATATTGACTTTGACAACAAGATGCAAATGATACCGTTTATTTAAGGGTGCTATTACATGGGTGTTACAATGGGTGTACTTATGCTTAACGCAAATAACATATATGTTGGAATTAAAAATGGTCCATCAGAATAAGCTCTCAGTTCAGCCGTTCTTCTTCATTTTCATCTATTCTTGTTTAGTCTCTTACTTTTCTGTTTTGGCTCCCTTACTGTTTATATATATCGTTGACTTTGTATTTTGGCAATGATGAGAAATGCAATAATGAAAATATCTTTTTCTTCCCACATCAGCTCTTCGTCTTTCCTTCTTGATGTGCAAGAGTATTGATATTCAAAATTTAACAGAGCTTCAGATTCAATACCACTGAAATTCTTCTGATTTTCATCCCTGCAATTTCTCCCGATCAATTTTTTGTTGTTTCCGATCTTGATATCTGTTTCCGATCCATTTTAGAAACGTACTTCCGATCAATTTTCGCGATGACCTCAAATCCAAATTCTGGAAATTTAGCTTCTTCAGATCCTCTCTATTTCCATCCATCCGATCGCCCTGGATTGTTGCTCGTCTCTAAGCAATTCAATGGTGAAGGCTTTGGATCCTGGAAGAAATCCATGTCGATAGCTTTATCTACTAAAAACAAGTTCGATTTTGTCAGCGGCAAAATTGCTAAACCTAACGGTGATCCTATTCGGCTAAGTCATTTGCAGAGGTGTAATGACATGGTAACTTCATGGATTCAGAATGTACTCAGCAAAGATATGGCTGATAGTGTTCTTTAGGCCAGTTCTATGATCGAGATATGAAAAGAATTGGATGAACGGTTTGGCCAGTCTAATGGTGCTATGTTGTATCAACTTCTGAAGGAAATCAATTCAACCCGTCAAGGAAATCTTGATATTGCAGCTTATTACACCAAGTTGAAGAAAAGTTGGGATGAGCTTAGTGCTATCACAAAATCCCCTGATTGCACATGTGGAGCTATCCAAGCCTTACTTAAACATGATCAGGATCAGAAACTGATTCAATACTTGATGGGGCTAAACTATGCATACACTACAACGCGTGGAAATTTGTTGATGATGAAACCTTTACCTACAGTTACTCAAGCTTACAATGGGTTGATACAGGAAGAAAAACAGAGAGAAGTTCAAGTTCCCAACCAAATTTTACCTGATCATTCTTCTCTAAATGTTGCCAAACCTGCATATAGAAATTACAATGGGATCATGAAAACTGACACTAAGAGATCCCTATTCTGTGAACATTATTACAAGAAACCTGGACATCTAGCTAATAGATGCTTCAAGCTAATTGGCTTCCCAAAGGATTTCAAGTTTACAAAAGGGAAGAATGCGTCAGCACACTCGGCCAATGTCGAGGAATCACACAAAACCATTCCCGAAACAGAGATGCATGTCAATTCTGATCTCTGCAATCAATTTTTGAAGTTTCTTTCTAATGTTCAGACCAATGGGATCAATCAAGACAATAATCAGTCTATTTCATCTGCTTTTCACGTTGTTCATCAGAACTCCATAGCTCATTCGGCTTGTTCAGGTATTTCTTTTCCTCCTTTTAATTGTTCTTCCATACATTTGTGCAACCATGTGTTTAGTCATTCTGATTATGTTTGGATTTTGGATTCTGGAGCAACTCATCACATGTGTGCTCATCTAAACCTGTTCATTGTTATTTCTTATATATCTTCTCCCCATACCGTCACTTTACCCAACAAACAACAAGTCTCAATGCTCTAACCAAGCATAGTCAACATTTTTTGCATATGGTTTCACACTTGCAAGAACATAATAATTATCAGGAGGCTAAGGAGGACCATGCATGGAAAGAAGCTATGAACAAAGAATTAGAAGCTTTAATCACCACTGGCACCTGGGTAGTTTCTGATTTGCCAAAAGGTCGCAAGCATCTTTGCTGCAAATGGGTTTATAAGTTGAAATTCAAATGTGATGGCACTCTAGAAAGACGAAAAGCCAGACTTGTTGTTCGTGGTTGTTTTCAAAAACAAGGCATAGACTATAATGAGATTTTCTCTCCTGTCGTTAAAATGACAACCATTAGAGCTCTCATTGCCACCGCTATGAAAAAGAATTGGCCCATGTATCAATTAGACGTCAATAATGCATTTCTTCATGGAGAGATTGACAAAGAGATCTATATGAAACCTCCACCCGGGATGCATCTTTTTCCTTCCCGGGTTCTTCGCCTTCAAAAATCTCTTTATGGTTTGAAACAAGCTTCACATCAATGGTATGCTAAACTGTGTGATGCGTTAAGAACAAGAGGTTATATACACTCCATGAATGACTACTCTTTGTTTACTAAACGCATGGGCACCTCCATCATCCACTTTGCTGTTTACGTAGATGATATTCTCATTACTGGAAATCATGCAGAAGAGATTATTCAAGTGAAGGCATGTTTTGATGCTAGTTTCAGGATCAAACATTTAGGATCTTTGAATTATTTTCTGGGTCTGGAAGTCATCTAGGAACCTCAAGGCGTCATTCTCACTCAAAGAAAATTTGCTCTTAATCTTTTGAAGGAGTTTGATTGTCTGGATTCTTCTTCAGCTGGATTCTTCTTCAGCTGTATGCCCTTTAGAAACCAATCTCAAACCCACACCTAACGATGGGCCTCATGTTTCTGATCCTACTCTTTACAGATGACTAGTGGGGAAACTAAATTTCCTCACTCACACACGACCTGATTTGGCTTACACCGTGCAATTCCTAAGTCAGTTCATGAGTGATCTAAGAGAGCCACATTGGGATGCCTCCATTCACACTCTACGCTACATCAATCGCGGTCCTTCCCAGGGTTTACTTTTGTAACATCCTGAAAACCAGCCTAGAAGTTAATCGATAATTAAATAAATAAGAACGATTTATTTACGAAAATCTATTCTTTTAAAGAATTAAAATATACTTTAGAAATTCTAATCGTCTAAATATAACGAAATTAATTTGATTATATTTGTAAAGGTTAAAAGTGAAAGACTGATCGGTGCTAATTAATCAAAAGAATTAAGACGGACCAAGTGAAACTGGTAAATGCTTGTTGATTAGTTATAAAAATTATATTGTTGGGTAGAGATCGACGAATCGAACCCAACGATGCGAATGGATTTCAATTCGGAGCAAGTTAACTCGAAAAGAGTTTTTTTAATAGAGCACAAAACCTAGGTATATTGGTATCAGAGCTAAGGCTCTCAAAAACCTAGCCTCTCTTTTTTTCCGACCGCCGCCCATCATGGCAGCCCCGTCGGATCCTTTGGCGTCCTTACCCTCCGGAGTAAAACTTTTGCTTCGGAGTCTCCACAACTTAATCCCAGAAAAACTCACCGAAACAAATTATCCGGCATGGTCTCTCAATGTCCAGACAGCTCTTTCAGCTAATCTCCTCCTTGGATGGATTGATGGTCATGAAGCAGCCCCGGCGCCAACTATCTCCAAAAACGATAAAACCGTCCCTAATCCTGAGTATACCTCCTGGACCATCGTTGACACACGGATCCGCGCCTGCCTCCTAGCGGTCATCAGCCCCTCCGTTCACAAACATGCTCGCGGCTTCACCACATCTGCTGCCCTCTGGGATGCTTTGGCCGCACGGTACAACTCCGTGTCCACCGCTCATGTTTATCAGCTTCGGGCACAAACTCCACACTCTTCGTAAAGGTACCAAAACTATGACACAATACCTTGATGATGTGGCAACTATTCTCTCGGATCTCGATGCCTTGAAAGAAGAGATCCCTGAACGTGATGTGGTGAATGCTGTTATTCGTGGTCTCCCCACCGAATACTCATCCTTTAAGCAAAACATTCGCATGAACAATACCAACATTTCGTTAAATCAGCTTTCTGGATGGCTGATCTCCGAAGAAATAAACCTGGAGATGGAGAATAAACTCA